AGACGGCTGTGTCACTTTGCCGCATGTCGGGCAGGGATGAGGGCGTCGCTCCCCCCAAATGGTTCATGTCGCGCTCCTAAACCCTAAACCCTAAACCCTGCTTTTAACGCGTACCAAGAACCTCGTCTGGCTTGTCCGAGTTGCGAGAGCGTAAACCCTGCTTTTGTACGCATGCTTTTGCTTGAGTTGTGGATTTGGCCTTCGTCCGGCTCGCCACCTCACCGCCTCCCATGTCGTTCAAAAAGAGCCATTTCCCGCACCCTTAAGCTGGGTTCTTGTTAATTAAGGAATTTACTTTATGTTGCCATCAAGGGGATCTGTAGTTAGTAATTAGTATGGGTTCCAAATTACATTTTCAAGTAACTTAAACTGAATCCCACAGCAAGAGCCATCTGCAGCCTTCAGGAGGAGCTGCTCCTCAGAGTACTCTCGGAGCTGCAGCGCCGTCTCTTCCATGTGGCCAGGGATGTGGCTGTGATCTCTCAGGCGGCCTTTCGGGGATCCTATCGGTCTTGCTGACAAGTCAGAGCTGGGGAGAGAGAGAGAGAGAGAGAGAGAGAGAGAAAACACGCAAAAGCACCGATGGCACCAACAAGAGAGAGTAAGGGGATATGAGACAAAATGATGTGACGCTGCCCTCATGCATGTGATCCATTGGTCGTTTAGAGCCATTTGACTGGCACGTGGCTGCAGCTTTGGGGTTGGAGGGCTTCATGGATCGATGAAGGCACTGGGATGATTGGCGTTTGGCAGTGTCTCGGGTCTGGATTCTTCCGCGGGGTTGTCTCCACGGTCTGGTGACTAGGAACATGCAGTTCAGCTCCCAGTGTAGTGAGTGTAGTGTTGCTTATTGACGCACTGCAGTTCTTGTTTAAAGGCACGGTGCGAGCTGACAAACCTTGTCTCCATATGTCGTTGACCTCAACCCTGCAGTCGAAACGACCCTTCTCAACACAACAGGGGTGGCTTGCTGGGGTCCGTACTTTCTGAAACTCCGATTTCAGCTTTGTCTCCGCGGAGGACGTCCGTCAGCATCTCAAGGGCAATGGCGTTCACATCGACGAAGAGCAACTTCGTGGGGCCCACAGTCCATGGAACCTTAAGGCTTAGGCTTACTATACCTGAGAGCTCCTTCTTCTATTTATGATAGTATAGACTTTCCCAACACGAAAAAAACCATTGAAAATATTAAGGCCCCTATATCATAGAACTCTCATGGTAACCTTCAAAGACCTCTTGGAGGCCCCGGAATCACGGCACCCTAAATCCTAAGTGCTTATGATAAACACAAAACCTTCGAACAGTACAAACCGAAAGCAAAGACAAGCCCTAAGCCTTAGACCCTGCATAAGCCAAAATCCCCGACTCACCCAGAAGCTTCAGCCCTTATCCCTGAACTCCCTAAACCATGACGCGATTGCAAGCACTGGTGTTAGAGTAGTGTTGTTGTGCACCTCAACACAGAGACCTCGTCCGAGCTGCGCGAGAGAAACCTATACCGGAAGCATCCACACGGGCTCAGGCGAAACCCTCCCATAAACCCCCGATGGTACCCCTGCAACCCGAGGGACTCCAATATCCCTGAATTTAGGGAGATACCTTCTTAAATCAGATTAGGATCCCTTTTATAATTTAAGGTATATTACAGATGGACCCCCTGTGGGAAGCCCAGGCAAGGAGCTAGCCGTCGAATGCTTCGACCTCGGTCTTCGGCGAATCTCAGAGCGACGCCGGACAGTGGGTACTAGAGGCTCTATAGTAGTTCCTTTTTGTGGTTCATATTTAGAATCCTATAAGGTAAGCCTAACAGGAACTACTATGGAGCCTATGGGTAGGCATTCAGGGTTTAGGGTGGTGGAGTTTGAGGATTTCGGGGCTTAGGACTTGTAGGTTTAGGGTTTCGGCCATTCTTGAGGTCGAATCTCGGAGAAGTTCAAGAAAATCCAGGCCAGCTGCTTGCTTTGAGACACCTGCATGTTGCCGCATTGCACGGTTTCGTTCAACTTGGAGCCTGCAAGCATGCGAGTTTTATGATTTTTTGCAGGACTTGTAATACTACACAAGGCCACCTACATAGAGGATGGTTTCTACTTTTGGTTCGGACCTCCCGTACGTGATTTTCAACACATCGGGGACCCTGCTACAGCCTAACCAGTGGGATCCGTTTAAGACGCACCTCTAAAGCGCCCCTGTGTTTTAAAGTTGTTTCAAACCCAACATACCGACCCTCTACATTGAAGCCGAGCGCGAAACCACTTAGCCAAAGCGCTTCGTCCTATCAGTTACCTCGTCAGGCTTGTCCCAGTTGTAGTTGTGTGTGCTGAAGCCCCTGACCTTCACCCTGCAACACCTCCACTTGTCTGCAGACCTTGCCCGGCTTCGTCCGAGTGTGAGTGTCAAAAACCCTGCAATCCGGGCTTGTCCTTGCGAGGTAAGAGGCCAATAGTCCCTTAATTAAGGAATATACCTTAAATCATATCCATATTAGGGATCCTACTATAATGTAAGGTACATTCCTTCATGTCCGAAGCAGTTGCTGCCCAGAGGGCTTAGCACATACAGATGCGGGGCTTGGAGTTTCAACCCTTCATGTCATGAAGGGATATTGGAGTCTCTGGGAACCCAGAGGCCGAAAACCACCCTTATGGAAGCCCGCAAGCCGGCTGATTTCAGGGCGAGGTCCTGAAGTCCTTTAGCTGCAGCGCCGAGACTGTGGCCACAGTGACGAATGGGACGGCCGAGGCCTGTTTCTTTTTTCGACTGTTTGATAACAATGAACTCCTTATGCGACTTCTATGGGCTTCAGTTTTGAGAGTGCGGACACCCGACATGTGAATTGCTTCAACTATGTAGACTGTAGACTCTTGGAAATGTGGACGAAAAATATCAACTGACGAGAGCACACGCTCTCCTTAAGGGCCGTAGTGAGTAAGGTCTGTTGCTACAATCCGTTTTCAGGCAAAGGTTCGAGAATTGTTTCGGAGGGCTAAGCCTCAAGACAGACCACCTACGAGCGGCAGGTTCCCAAAAGGTTCAACCGCGGTTTTAATCTCAACAGAGCTTGGTTACTGAGTGTGATCTTCGCTACAGGCTACAGGCCTTATTCGCCCTACCTATCTCGTCCTGGCTGCTCATGCAGAACGAAGCTTCACTCTGGCTTGAACGGATATGCCGAACCACCAAATATGCGGAGAATCTGTGTGGGTGGCTGGGCTAGAGCGGTTTTGGTATAGGTATGTCAACGTATGTGACCAAAGCCCAGAGACGGATCATGTTTTTAAGCCGGAGTGCACGTTTGACAGGAAGTGCGCAGCCATGTGGCAACTCGGCTGCACGCTGTGCCTGCAAGGTATGCCGAGCCGCTGCAGTAGTTGATGTGATGGCTCAGCCATTTCACCTTGCTTCGGCTTATCGGGACCAGGGCTGTCTGTAGCATATGCATAGGCTTTGATCGCAACACTTGCTGCATGCTTGCCCCCGGTGGCCAAGGAAGCTAACAAGCAGATGCTGGCTGATGCACTCGGAGGATCCGATCTTCGTCCGGGCTGAAGTGTGCTCAACACGCAGATCTTCAGCCAACCATGCGCATCGTTGTTTGAAGTTTGAGGTTTGCAGTCGAACCTATCTGACATATCTCAGTGATTCGCAGGCCTCCCTCCGATGCTCCCGGGGATAGAGATCCCAGAAGATCTCACCCAGGAGCGCTTGCTTCTGAGCTGAAGCTTTGGTACGTCGGCTCGGTGCTGTTGGAAGTTTGCCCTTGCGACGTCACAGTCCTGAAAACGACAGATGTTGATTCATGCAGAAACCCTCGGGACATAGCCCAGAAGCCTTATATAGTATGGTCTTTGCGCCCCAAAGCCTTATTATATGAGTCCTTAGATCCCTAGGGAAAGTGTATGCGTGGCTGACGAAAAGCTTGGCACGACTGTCCTGCTGCAGTTTGGTAGTAGTTTAAAGCTTCAGCTCTATCTCGCATCCGTGCTTCGAGTCATTAAGGCTAGAGCTTTACAGCAAAGTGCAGACGCTGCCACTGGGTTGCAAGCATCTACAGTACGATTCAAGATTTTCGGATGCACCTGGAGGCCCATGATCTGGGATGCATCGTAGCACGGTGTCCAAACCCTAAGCCTTCAGTAGGTCTACCGGAAATCAAGTATGGCGTGGTTGAAGGCTAAAGTGTGACCGCGGAATGCTTGTGGACGTGCTTAAGCGATTCGGTATCGGATTGCGCATTTCAGCCACCATCTGCTGAGCTTGCAGTCCTCCAGTTGCTTTGGTCAAAGCCTTAGCCACAAGATCGCTTCCGCCGCTCTCCCCGAAGTTGCACAGACGAGGAGGTTTGGGTTCTTGAGTTTGAGCGCCTCAGTTAGAGTTTCAGATCGTCTGGCAGACTGCGGAAGTTGTTTGCAAAGAAGATGATCTCAGGAAGATTGAAAAGGCACGCACTCTTGCTGATCACACGCGGAGCATCTAGGCGGCACAGCTTGTGTTGAGCAGAGAGTTCAGGGCGATTCATGCACGCCATGCCGCTATACAGCCCAATGTGAACGCAGAATGTCCCACTCGCACGCACGGCTTCTGGCATGACTTTTTCGCAGTCGCATTTTCTAGCCAAGCAGAGGGTCGTCGTACATTATTCCCTGTGACTTGCACTTCCCTTCACAGTTCACACCGAGCAAGACACGGATGCTGGCCTTCGGAATTCGGAAATGCATGTGTCATGCTTGGAGTCCTCATCGAATGCGCTTGCGGCGGCAACCCGGGTAACCTCTTTTGGGTTCTGCTGCATCTTCGCCTTTGGGATGCCGGAGCCGAGGAAAGCGATTTTCAGCTCAGGAGGGGGCTCCGAACGAGTAAACAGCTCCCGGTTGGATTGCCGCTGTCTTAGGCGATTCAAACTTTTCCAATTCGGTGCCGTCGCCGTCGTTAACTTCTAAAGAGCATCTGTTGCCACGTCATGGTCGAATAAGCGGGCTCGCACTGCAGGTTGCCGCTTTATGCTTCTCGGTCACAGTTGTGCGTTGGGCGCTGTCACACTCAACTTGGCCTCTTCTTGCTTTGATAACATCGCAACGCAGCAGGAGATCACGACAGAAGTCGCCCGGCTGAGTCAAGCAGCAGAGGAGGAGGTCCTCGAAGAGCACAGCTGCTCGGCTTTGCAAGTCTTCAAAGCCAAGCCCTCGCCAACCCTCTGTAAACGCATCCTTCAAAGAAAGCTCAGCCCAGGAGACTGGCTGGGGAAGGAGGGTGAGATCTACCATTCAGCTCTGGCTTTGCACAGCAGGTGGGTCTAAAGAGCCGCAGTGATGCGGTACCGATATCACACCTGCTGCGGTACTGCAGAGCCTCGTAAGGGCTTAGTCACAGTTCAACCACGATATTCAATAATTCAGATCCTGCCAAGTGATGTACACTGTGATTGCTCCGTCTGCACCGGGTGCTTGTCCTTTCCAGTTGTTGTGAGCACAAGATCCATTCGAACAGGGACTTCAGCAGTCCAACTTATCCAACTTGGAGAGTCGGGGGACTTAGTAAGTAGGTAGCAAGCAGACTTATAAGTACCCTGAAAGGGGCCCTAATTGGGATTATGGTAATTATAACTCTATAAACTCACTACTTAGTAAGTCCCCCGACCTTCCAAGAAGTCTATGCAGCACTCCCGGCCTGGTGTGAGGTCGCCTGAATTCCAAAGCAGGGTCGCAGATCTGGACGCGGAGCATCGCAAGGCGTGGAGTCTCGTCCATCTAGTCCACTACCATGACCTCAGCTCTTCACTGTACACGCGTCTTATATGTCATTCCCTACTAACCAAAGGTAAGCCTGTTGGCAGGGCATGATCAACGCCTTGCTTACCTTTGGTTAGTACGGAATGGAAGAACGGTAGTAATAGTAGTTATTATTGTACCCCATTCCTCCACTCCCTACTAACCCAAAGGTAAGCTTGTTGGCAGGGCATGATCAACGCCTTCACCGGCGCGTGAGCCTTTCCGATCTGGAGAGCCATCGCCCGTGTGCGACCACAGCTGGTGAGGGAGTAGAAGGCGCCACAGCTTTTCCTACTTGGAGGCTCATGGGTAGTTGTAAGTGGAGTCATAAGTAGGGTAACTATAGCTATAACCCATACTAGGGACTCTTAACACCACTTACAGCTACCCCTGAACCTCCAAGTAGCATCCTTTCTTCCGGTTGTTGCAAGCATTAGAAAGACTTTCTGGCATTGACTCTCATTAGGTACCGCTCTTTTGGTCTTGGCAAGAAAGGGTGCAGGTGGAGCTGGGGACGTTCTTGCCGGCTGAAGAGCTTGCCAGCCCGATGCATGCAGCATCGTAAATTTTGTCCTGGTGCTGCAAGTACCGTTGCCTCAATCAGTGGGGGGGTCAATCAGTGGGGGGGTCGATACCTGGAGTCAGGGTGCCTGTGTTGACAGGTAGAAGCAGTTCGAGGGGACTTTGGAATTCCAGCTGAGTAATTACGAGACATGACACAACTGGTCAACATCGTTATTGAAAATAAGGGCACCGCCCTTACGGACCCTTATGGGGATCCGATTAATCAATTTACCATAGGGTTCAAAATCAGGACTCTGTCCTCGTGTCCAAGCCAACGGACTGCTGTCATGACATGAATGCAAAGAGTTGAAGCAAGGGCAAGGGATCAGGGCCATGCAGAAATTTACATGACAGCAGGAGACTTGAGTTTAGCGGCCAGGCTAGGCTAGGCATGACATTGCAGTCTGACCTGCAGCTGAACCCCAAACCCGAAACGCTAAGGCAACAATAACCCTAAACCCAGAACCTTGAGGCAACAACCATAACTCAGCCCTAAAACGGCACCCGAAACCCTAAACCCTTAAACTCTAAGCTCCCAAACCCTGTGTAAACCCCAACACCCCTAAACCCCTGAATCCCTAAATCCTCAGCCCCTTAACTCAAAAACAAACCCTAAACGCTCTCTCTTATTCCGCCTTGGAGGCCTGAAGGCCGACTCTGGTCGGACAGTTGTGGATCTTGCCGTGCCACGTGAATATAGTATACGATTAAGGCGATTAAGATTAGACCAGAACATGTGTATAGTATAAGGTGTCATTTCATACAGACATTTATGTATCTCTGCTATTGCACCAAGATCCACCGTCGTAGTCGTACCAAGGAAGCCCAGATGCCTTTGATAAAGAAGTATACCTGAAGCTGTATTCTTTTTTGCTTAAGGTCGCAGTCGTATTCCTTTAATCAAAGGCTTTTGGCTTTTCTGGGTACTTAGGATCGTCGCGGTCTGCACGATGCATGCGAAACGGAGGACGAAGCGAGCTCTGGCGCGTGCAGATGGCAGAAAAAGGGCCATCTGTTTCAAGGGAGTCGCAGCTGGGTTTGCGACGAGACTGCCGGTGCACATGTGGGTAGAGTTACAGCTGGCTGAATCGGACATCAGCAGCATGATGTTTATAATTATACATACATACATATATGTACGCACACAAACAAAAACATATAAATATACATACATATACATATGTATATATATTTATATATCCGTGTATGTAAAGTTCCGAATGTTTAAGAGACAAATGTATCAGTAAATATACAAGTACATACATGGCTGGCCTTGAGCCGTCAGCTCCGATGCGCTGACGCGCGCGGCAGTTCGAAGACCTTGCCTTCGAGAAGAGTTCCTTAGAAGGGTTACTATAAGGCTACTACAAGGGTTCCTTTAAAGGGTTATTATAAGGGTACTGCAAGGGTTCCTCTAAAGGGTTATTATCAGGGTACTACAAGGGTGCCTTTAAAGGGTTATTATAAGGGTACTGCAAGGGTTCCTCTAAAGGGCTATTATCAGGGTACTACAAGGGTTCCTTTAAAGGGTTATTATAAGGGTACTGCAAGGGTTCCTCTAAAGGGTTATTATCAGGGTACTACAAGGGTGCCTTTAAAGGGTTATTATAAGGGTACTGCAAGGGTTCCTCTAAAGGGTTATTATCAGGGTACTACAAGGGTGCCTTTAAAGGGTTATTATAAGGGTATTGTAAGGGTTCCTCTAAAGGGTTATTATCAGGGTACTACAAGGGTGCCTTTAAAGGGTTATTATAAGGGTACTGCAAGGGTTCCTCTAAAGGGTTATTATCAGGGTACTACAAGGGTGCCTTTAAAGGGTTATTATAAGGGTACTGCAAGGGTTCCTCTAAAGGGTTATTATCAGGGTACTACAAGGGTGCCTTTAAAGGGTTATTATAAGGGTACTGCAAGGGTTCCGTTAAAGGGTTACTATAAGGGTACTGCAAGGGTTCCTCTAAAGGGTTATTATAAGGGTACTACAAGGGCTCCTTTAAAGGAGGGTTCCTTTAAAGGGTTACTATAAGGGTACCACAATGGCTTCTTTAAAGGGCTCTATATGGGTTTTTCGAGTTAAGAATCGACCCTTCGGGCCACTGAGCCCTTCACCCCAAAAGAGCCTAAACCAAAAACACCAAACCAAAAACCGTATGCCCTAAGCAATAATCCTTGAAGCCCAGTGCCTCCGGCTAACAGACTTTCCAACTGACAGGGAAGAGAGGTGACAAAAAAGAAGCCCTAAACCGAGCTTGAGAGGTTTATTTTTTGCTCGGGAGGCCAAGTTTCTGAAGCCTACAGCCCGAAATTGAAGCCCCCGAATCGCAACCTCAGCCCTCTTCGAGGTGGCAGCAGTCACCTGCTGAGTTAAAGTTCCACATGAAGGGAATGTACCGGGCTCATTTCAACTCGGCAGTTTTGAGATTGGCAGATTGGCAGTTTCAGAAGCTTTTCAGGAGTTTGCGTCCAGGACTGCCCCTACAGAAATACCAAAGCTCAGAGGCTCCAATGTCCAAAACCCTGTACTTGAGAATATGCTTTATTTACTGTTACCCTGCTTCGCCGACTGAGCCATTCATGCAGGAGGCAAAAGAATATGCTTTATAGTCATTTTAAGGCTCGCTCTCTGAGAGGGAGCAGGGGCCCTAGTAGGTATGTTCGTAAGTAAAGTTGTAAGCAAAGATAGGGTCATTATGGCTCTGCCTATAGCCTATTTGCGACTTCCCATGATCCTCCTTCTAAGCTAGGACACCCAGAAAAACATGGATTCGGGTTTAGGATGTTGAGTGTACGGTCTCGGCTTTAGAGTTGAGGTAGTTGGTTTTGAGTTTTGGGTCTACATAATGTGCTAAAGTCGAAGTAGTATTTCTTGCATATCTCGAGTTAAGAAATGGCACAAATATCTACAGACTCTATACGGTCCCAAAATAGGAATGAGATAGATTCAGACGTGTAGCATATGCAGGGACGCATATGATTCGCTGTGCATGGCTGTGTTTGTCAAACACGCGATATTTCTCTCCTCCTGTCTCCATCAGCCAGTGCAGCTGCCACCCCAGCACGGCAACCTCTACCCCGAGCCCTGCGAACCAAAGACTAACCCAAAGAGAAGCCTTAAGGAATCGTTTCACCTCATTGATCACCTGCGTCCTCATCGCCAACTGCCGGGACAAGGCGCGGCCACGGTGTAGAGCTCAAAACCAGTACTGGTGGCAGACAGCCGAGTTTCAGTTTCGGGACTAGATAATGTCAAACAGCACGACCCACTGCCATACAATATACATGCAATATCAGCGTATCATAACGTATACTACGGTTGATGATAAACCCTGCATTACCTTAATGACCCTAAACTATGGGAACTATATGGTATATTCCTTTTTATGGGAAAAGCAGGGCTTATATCATCAACCGTATGACCCAGGCCCAATTCCGATAGACTTCAGCCACGTGACTCGCAGCTGGTCTTCGAGCCCTGAGCCGCTTCGCGATCTAACTCGGATCGGTCTCGATGCGTATTTTAACATGCTATACTATAATATACTGTAATAAGTATAGTATAATATACTATAGTAGACTATAATATACGACGTTCAATAGACTATAGTAGACTGTAGTATACTATAGTATAGTATAGTACCAGCGGATGGACGGCGTCTTGCGACCTCGATGGTCGTTCAGAGAGGGTCACGGTCGTTGGAGGAAAGGACGGCAGGCAACTGCGGACGAAGTTGTGCATTCTCAGCTAGTGAACCCTTTCTGGCACTTGGCAGCAAACAGTGGGCCGCATGGGACGTAATATGGGGGCCTTATAATAATTACCTATACTATTTTGGTGGTTTCTTAGTATAATTATAGTGTAATGGGCCCCAAAACCCTATTCTAAAAATACCCTCTACCGGCTGCGCTGGCAAACCCTTGTCCTGGATCTTGTCGGTCCTCGGGTCTGCCATGCAGGAGCCAAAAACTAGAACCTCTCACAGAACACACACAATCGAGCATCTGCGTGGAGGCTACTTGCCTTGCAGGGCTTAGCGATGGGACCATAGGTCGAATCCTCAGACCTGGTTTCAGCGGTTCGGGCTTTCAGAATCTATAGTCGCAGGGTATGCACGCTGGCCTGATCGCTAGACTTCGATTTTCTTTCAGTGACGCGAGTGTTCCAGGTGACTTGCGTCGTCCGCTTTGCACGAGCAAACCTCCAGCAAGCAGCAGTCGAGAAGTGGACCCTTGAGGCATTCTGCCCATGAAAGCAGAAATGGGCTCTGGAAGCTCCGGACAGGCGCAGTCGAGAGTCGAGAGCTGCAAGGGTAGACTATGCATGAGGCAGCTTGTTTTCAGTGTCCGGCACATTTCTGATTAAGGTTGGTGCAGTGTTGGATTGGTGCCTGATGGGTTTACACGGCGCTTCCTAGCAGCACCGACAGATGCTCCTCACACATCGCGGGCCGCTTCGCCAAAACACTGCAACAACTGTCATGACTGAGCTGCTGTTAAACATAGTGCTCAGCTGGTTCCACTCCCCAAACCCCAAACACACGATGCAGGTCTTGCCTCTGGTCCGACATACAGCTGGAGCCGGGGGCCCTGCAGTTTCGAAACCAGGAATACTGAGGGCTCTGGAGGCAGTACTTGTACCCCAGTCGATTGGTTCAATGCTGCTGCCGGCAACTAGTGCATAATACATACACATATATAAACAAACAGGTGTGTGTATATATATATATATATACATGTGCATATCCAGCAATATGTACATATACATACAGACATGTACATATACACGCATATTAGCAGGTACTCGTACCGGGTGGCAGGATCAGCCCATGAGCAGAAACGATGGTTCAGGAAACCAAGAGTTGCTCTCACTTCACCAGCTTTCGCTCGCGATTGGGTGTGCCAGCACCAGCCTGGAAGCTGGGACCTCCAGCCGAGATCAGACAATAAAGTAACATCTAGCAGAATCTGGCTTTTTACGGTGCTATGAAAGGTTCATGTAGTGCAATATCACATGAGGTAGTACAGTCTTTAGCATAGCTGAGGTCGTGGCCATGGCATTGGACGAGACGGAGCAGCATCTCTTCTCTGCAAGCAGTGACAAGGCTGAGCTCCCAATCCAGATCCCTTTTTAAGGCCCCTATACGATGTGAACGAATACCAACGGCGAGGCTGCCAAAGCCTGAAGTACTCCTGACTTGGAGCGCCGGGGCTGGTAATGCGACAATGTGCCTTCCAAGAAGCGGCAGGCGATTATGGTCTTCGACCTCAGGAGACAGATGATCCAGTGTGAGGCCTCTTGAGCAAACGGCTTCTCAAGCCAATTCGTTCTGAAGACTCCGTCGAGGAATCGTGATAGTAAGGGGCAGTTCTTAGTGGCTAGGTCGGACCGGGCACTGGGCATGTTGTGTATCAGGCGCCAGGCAGATTCATTACGATTGTTTCTTCAAGTACGCGTGCAGCATGATCACTGTAGGTGTTACCATCTTGGAACGCATACATTCTTCCTAAACCCAAAGCCCCTAAACCCCTAAACCCTAAACTCCACTGTGTGGAGCCTTGCCTGCCTTGTGCGAGTGCGCGCGTCGAAACCCCAAACCCCGCTAAGCTTTTTGAGGTAGAGCTCAGAGAGTCTCCCCCCCCTCCTCCATGAGCATGTGCCAGGTGTCAGCTCCGTCTCCCCCGACGCACATGATCCACTGCCAGGACATGGTATGATCGCATTGGGTTTGGGGTTCAGGGTTTATGGCATGATCGGATACGGTAAGTCTCATATGCTGAAATTCAATCGGGCGGGTGTGAGGGCGAGTCCAGATGTCATGCGAGACTGTGGCAGACGACAAAGCGGCCGCTTAAGATGTTGGATGCCGAGCTCAATAAATTGTAAATAGTTGGGGTCAGAACAAGTGACAGCCCCTTGTAGCCCCTGTATAAATCTATAGTTGTCTAAATTGCAGTTCATCCAAAGCCTTATTCAATGCTTTTAAGGCCCTCTCCGAGGCTCGCTGTGGCTCGAGCCTCCTTACTGAACATCCTGCTACCTGCCATAAGCGCTTGCACAATAAGGGGCAACCCACAAGGCCGGGTCGGAGCCTCTGTGCGCGTGAGTGTGGAAGTTCAAGTCGTTCAGGCTATGATATAGCAGGCGGTTTATACTTTATACCGCACAATAGATGATTAAATATGTGCTGTTGCTTGGTTTTGACTGGAGGTCCTGGGCTTTCATGTCAAATCGCAGCTCCAGGCCATGCGCCATTCGCTTTTCGTGGCGCTGCTTGTGCTTCTGACCGCCTCCGCAACAGTCGTCGAGGTGGACGGGTACTGGTTACATGATTCTATCACATCAGGGCTTAGTATGGGTTTTGGAAGGGTTCCGCGACAGCAGTGTTTCGTACAGCTGATTGCTTGCACTCCGGTATCCCGGAATGAAGCTCCTGAAAGAAGCGCTAGGCTGCCAGCCACGCTTGATGGTCTAACTAATATGGGGGCCTTGATGATTACCAATACTATTTTGAGAGTGCTTCTTATTATTAAAACTACACTGGGATATGCACCTAAGCCCGTTTCTAATTATGAAGACATCAGATGCCAGGCCCATTCCCATCCTGAAAGGCAGCGAAGGGTCAGTGGCTGTTTGGGGTTGTACTTGTGTCTGTTACCTAGTAGTAGAGTAGGTAACAGAACCAAAAAAGGTTAACCTTTAAGTAGTTCCCCATGATACCCGACAAGTAGGGTTAGGTTCAAGCCATCCGGGCCCATGCATGCCTGGTGCTTTTAATTTTGCATTCCCAGGGAGCTTGGTGCTCGACTTGCGGTAGTCTTTTCCTCTGCTGGCTGAGACCTGCTGCGACCAATGGGCTCAAAGCTCCGAGCGCGAGAATAAACAGAAGGACGCTTCCACACCTCCGAAGCCTGTATAGCCTGCACCTTCGAGCTTCGATCCGGGAATCTTAGAGAGCTCAGAAGTACCGTAATCTGCAAGTCTCCGGCCCCGCAATGCTGTCCTACCTTCTCACGTCCCAGACCGAGACCCCGACTTTCGCAAGCTTATGTAAAGATCTCTAAACCCTGAACCCTAAACCCTAAACCCTAAACCCTGAACCCTGAACCCTGAACCCTGAACCCAAACTGCCGGCCTCACCATGGCTGGCGACTGACTCCTTCGACACACCGGCTGTACTGCCCGCATAGCAGCCGTCATGGGCAAGAAGAGCAAGGCAAAATCGTAAACTGCAAAGCCTTCCAGCAAGACCCTAAGCCCTGAACTGCTCAAGCCCAAAAGGCCCAAAAGCCAAACTGCCCAACCCTCAGGCTCTAGGCTCCAAGAGGCCATAAGCACTCAATCTTGAAGGATCAAGGGTGGGTAGGTCGTATTATTTAACTATAAGTTCCCCCATTTGGTGCATCCTACTCATAGCTCGACCTATAAGCCACTTCAGAAGTCTCATGTGCCCTTCAACCCCTCAACCCACACGCACACCACAGACGTTAAACCCTTGAGCCTAAAGTTGTTTTGGTATCCATGACAGGTCATCACTCTCGTAGTAATGATGTAGGGGCCTGTAATAATTAGAATGGGAACCCCAAAACCCTATTCTAACTATTAAGGCTCCTTACATTACCCATAACAAGGTACCCTAAATTTTCGGAAACTCTAGACCCTGAAAGAGCCCTTTCAAGGAATCTTATAGTAACCCTTTAAACGGGCTTATAGCGAGGCAAAAGCGGAGCCTGGGCCGTCGGAGGATCTGAATCTTAGTAGCTAAGGGGAGACACTTTACACTTTTTCAGGGTAATACTACCACTATAAGACTGAAGGTGTGCACTTTTTAAGAGAATCCTACCCACTATAAAGCTGAAAGTGTGCATTTTTTGGGGGCTTATGAACTCAGCAACTAAGGAATGGGCACATGGAAGCTGGCGAAGCGCATCTGGCATCAGGTCGACTCGCAGAGGCCCTGCAACTGGGCCCTCTCGGAATGTCTTTGCAGGGCTTCAGAGGGTGCTAAACTAGGTATCGATTTGGGATAAGTTGTAGTTTCCTTTATGGATTAATATATAGAGCCGTGATTAAAGCAGCTTTTGGACTCTTTGAATCGACACCTGGTAAATGGTTCTGTTAGGGTTTTATCGCTTCCTTTGTTAAGAAGCCAAGTTCAAGTTACCGTGGCAGAGGTAGATTAGATGGCACATGATGCTACCATAACGCAATATGTTGTCCTTACGTTGGCGGGTTATCCCTCAGCTAAGTTATCGCAAGCCAGATACACAGACATGTATGTATGTATGTATGTATGTATGTTTGTATATATATATATATATATATTATATGTACGGCGAGAAGATGATGCTGTCCTTGTTGTTTTCATGGTTGTACATAGATCCAGTTCCTCATCAGCACCCAGGCAGTGCTTCTCGGCTGCGGTTGCTGCCGGGCCCACCCGCCAGCTGGCTTGGTATAACCAAGGCATAGCAGCCGCGGAGCTGTGGCAAGAATCCCAAGAACTTGAAGGGACAGGCCAGCAACTACTGGAGACAGCTATAGCAGCTTTTCGAAAGATTCTCGAGCTAGACACCTCCCAGCGGTCAGAGCTTCGCTACCTCGGCACAATCGCTGCTGGACGCTTGCTGGTGAGTGCTGCTGAGCGATCGGATGACCTGGGCACTTCTCACTGCGACACTCTGTTGGTGGAGGCGACGAAGCACTTTGAGGAGGCTCATCGTCTGGTCCGTGAGTGGGGCCACGATGATCTAGGCGACGCCTGGGGCGACTGGGGAAAAGCGCTGGCGCTTCAAATGCAGAGGTACATTTCCAGCATCCCCGAAGGGAGCTCAAACCTGAACTGGAGTGACCTCTTGGGAAAGATAAGTACTCTCTGCAACCAGGCTGCGGAAAAGTTCCAGGCCGCCACACAAGCGCTGGGAGAAGGGGAGGATGATGAAATGGAGGATCGCAACACGAGTGACCTGGATTGGATGGTTTGGCACATCGAGCATTTGTCTGCTTTCGTAAGTATCGCTGCACGGGGTGTCAGGGAAGCTCCTGGCGCCGAGTGGCTGGAGTGGCTGCGCTGTGGAATCTTGGCCTTCCAGGAGGCGGTCCGTTTGGCTTTTGCAGTAGTTGCTTGGCGTTGTTCGGGTTGGCTTATAGGACTTTAACTTTTTGGGTTTCTATATGAACTTTTCTAAGGAGGCTAGAAGTTTAACGTTTAGGAGAGGTTCAGAAGTCAGCCAAGGTTGATCTCGCTAATTCGGCAGACTGGCAGCACAAAGCCTTGCAAGGAGATGTCTTTGCATCGGGTTACCACCTCTTGTGCGCTGTGAGACCGAAACACCAACTGCTTGCGGAGGCGCCAGAAACATGGCGGAGTGGCCTTTTCGGAAGCCAAGGTATGCTGATGCCTTCGCCTCCCATCTCAGGCGAGTCCGCGCCCGCACAAACGCATCCACAGCCGGTGGAGGTGACGGAGGCGGACCTCGTTCGCTTGGCTGAGGAAGCCTATGGCCGTGCTTTGGCAGCTCCTGGGGTGGACAAAGGAGAGGTAGGGCTCTCTTGCGGAGAGCTCGGGCTGTCTCTGGCCCGGCGTGCCCTCGCAGATGGCCAGGATCCCACCTCGGCCCTGCAGGGTGCAGCAACTTCACTGCAGCTCGCAGCCCGATTCGGGACCCGGGAGGAGAAAGCCACCGCCTGGTACAACCTCGCTTGCGCGGCCGCTTTGGCGGAGCGGCCCTCGAAGGCCAGCGAAGCGCTGAGAGCGTGCCTTGAGCTCGTCTCACCGGCATCTCGTAAGGATTGGCTTCGGGAGGCATCTGAGGACCAGGATCTTAAGCATCTGGTCTCGAGCCCTGACTGGTCACGCACTACGGGAGGTTATGGACACCTGCAAGTTTACATATAATTTTCTGCACATGTCTGCACTCGATTTTCACAGCTCCGGTTCGAAAAAGGTTCGTGTCGGCTTGGCGTGCATTAGTAGAGAAATGAGACCCCGCGATGGCATCACAGTAGCTATCCTCCTCGTAGTGAGTCTGCAGCAATCATCATGCTTTCCAGGTTGAGTCTTCACTGCCTGTGGATGAGTGCGCGGATCTCTCCGACGAGCTTTCCGGATGCGCGCTGTGCCGTGGCCATGAGGTCTCTGTTGCGGTTGCAGATTATTTGGCATGCCCCGGAAAACAGACGACTTAACTTCCAGCCTGCAAAGTTGAATAAAGCTCTGTTGCCTCATTGTTCAGCTGGGCGGGTGGCAAAAATGTTGCTTGATCCTCTGCTTGCTGCCTGTCGGAGCGAAGTTGTCTGCGAGATGTTTGTGACGATTGCCCTGCGTGGAAGCTTAGGAGCGCCTTGCAGCTGAAAACGCAGAAGCATCTGTCGGACGCCGACTTGCCTGGCAGCTTTTCCGTGGCGCTTTCCACAGAGGCACCTCCTCTGATTCAGGGCTTCTGGGTGCTTCTTAAAGAATTTAATCCGAGCTACCATAATAAGGATCTCTAGTAATGAATAATTAATATGGTATGTTGCCTTATGTGGTAATGAACTTAAATTAACTTAAATCAAATCCCTTAACAAGAACCCAGGCTCTTCTGAGCTTGAGCGTCGATCTGAAACCCTGTCGCTTCAGAGGGGGAGACTTCACTATCCCCTCAATCAAGGAATATACCTTAAGTCATATCAGGGATCCTGCTTTTATTTTTAAGGGGATATTCCTTGAGTAAGGGATATTTGAGTCCCCTACACCCTAAACCCTATAGATCCCTTACAGGAACCCTTATAGTTCCCTTTAAGGAACTCACACGGCTCACAGCTGTCGGCAGGATGGCAAGGGTCACGTCACTGAAGGCGAGCAGGCGAGGTGCTGGCGAGTCTTAGGAGATGGGATCTGACATTTTGGCGGTTGGTCCAGAAGTCAGGTCGCAGGATTTCTAGTCCAGTCTAGTATTGCAGTTGAAGAGAAGTGAGAGCTTCGGGCCTAGCTAGCATAGCCAGCGGTTTGCACACAGCTCGGGTTCTGGGCAAACCTTGGCAGTAGATCGAGGGGCCCGAAGGTTTCTTGCTCCGTCTTGAAAGCTGACGACCGCTCATCATTCCTTACCGGGGTACCGCTGTGCTGACCTCTGCTTGCTGCCAGATTTTGCCGCTGTTTTGCGAGCCCCTGGAGCGGAATGATGCTGTCAATGTGGTTTACTTACTGTTCTGTTAATATATGTTGTACTAGCAGGTAGCTAGCGGCTAGCGCTGCTCCTGGTGTGGGCGTGTATGCATCTGTCAAGACAGCCATTGTTGCACAGGCTCCCGCAATCGTGGACCGAAGCCCACAATTGGCCCTATATCCTGCACCCTCACAAATTAAGGATTATCGCTTAAGTCATCTACTATAATTTACGGTATATTCCTCGTTCAGGGGATATTGGAGTCTCTCAAAAGCTGGCCCTGTACCCCCCCGCCCCAATGCCAGAATTTCTGAGAGGCCAAGCATCAACAGCCAAAGCCCAAGGCAGAGGCTCTCGGCGTTTCCTGGTTTTCAATCCTTCAGGTACCTTTAGCCGAAACATGATCCTGAGGATCGGTGTCAGTGTGCTTCGTGTGTTTAGTTGATTTAGTTGGGAGGCTCTAATCTAGGGGCCTTAAGAAATACTCTTTTGGGGGGGTTCCTTTTAAATAGAGTCTAATATACCCCCAAAGCCATATTCTAAATTATTAAGGCCCCTGTATGAACTATTCTAAACAATGCATTGCGGTGTTCATGGGACTGGGGACCTAAACTTGCGCCTCTCGCACCCATTGTAAGCCAAGCACCGCAAGTTATAGTCCATGCGCAGCCACATTTATATCATCAACAGTAGTAATCGGTAGTGCCCTGGCTTCCAAAAACGGACGGCAGGCTGTGGGCATTGGAGGGGTAATCCTGTTTCCAGCGCTGTCACCTAAAGTAGCAAAGATTAGAAGCTGCCCCCACCCTGTAATAGTGACTATAAGGATTATATCAGGGCCCTATTATATTCCCATTATACACCTATTACAGGGTGGGGGCCCCTTCTAAAGCAAAGATGATCTGGTCGAGGAGCCGCAGCACCCTGCCTCACAAAATCGATTCCCGCTCAGCATCCAGCATATCTTGTTCAGGCTTCTACATGATCTCCATGGGATTTTGAGCTTTGGTTTGGGATCGTTGAAACATGGTCGAAGCCTACATGTTTGCAGCCTGGTCAGAGTAGTCGTCTGGGTCGCGGCACGCAAAGTCTATGGTCTTTCGAAGCAGAACAGATCCGACCCATTCTGCAGGAACTCAGTGAGCAGGAGCTGCTATCCCACAAGGATCTAGGTATCCACTGATAGTTCTGGAGCTTAGCACCCTAAACCCCTATAAACCCTGTACTCTGGACGAGATGGCGTGTAATTTGAATGACATAGATTCAACCTGCCACATTCCTGTACAGCAGCTTGTGAGCAAACATTTGGGCCGAAGTCTATGCATGGAGTGAGAGCTAGTTTAGAAACAGAGGGCAATGTCCCAACAAGGTGGCTGATGACGTGTAGACAGTGATTTTATGATTGTTAGTGTTCGTGTCGGCACAGATACTGTGTACTATGTGGAGCCTTGCCAGCTGTGAGCGAGTGTGAGCGTCGAAACCCCTAAACCCTAAAAACCCCGAAACCCTTTCTTCTAGAACATACCGTTACGCTGCTCTGAGGCCAGCCCCAGCTGCTCGATGTAAGCAGGCATCGGGAGTTGACTTTCTCTGTGGCTCCAGTTACCTAAATAGCTGGTTACTAACCATGTATATTAACCTGCTATTTCGGTAACTGGAGCCCTAGGGTGTGTCTGTGCCATGACGCGTGCGGCACGTACTCCATCGGTTCTACTACCTTCAGCTATTTCAGCTATATTCCTGAGTCGTGAAAGAATTGGTTTGCGGGCAGAATGCAACCCAAGATTCAGAACTTTTTATAAACAAGGGCCATCAAGAACCTGGGGTGGTTGGACACCGAGAGGTCCGTCGTAAGGGGGCCAACCGGCCAGCTCTCAGAGAGTCCCAACACTCTTTCGTGATCCGACCGCAGATTGACTCGGAAGCACCTCAACCTTCCACTGCTTCGCTGGCCGAAGTTTTCCGAAATGGGATGACTCACTTATCCGACTTAAACGCCTTTTGAGACGTTCTGGCCACCCCAGTAAGTCTTTGCATTTGCCCGTCACCGCACCTATCTGAGCCTTCGGTCTCCGGGCCGGTCGCCTCTGCGGCACTTCCTGGCACCGCCTTGCGGCATCTAATGTCAAGGCGACGGTAGCATTGCAGATTGCCGCAGCCACCACATTGGTAGACCTGTCCTCAAGTCCGACGCTTGTGGTACCTTCGTAGTTCATGTACCGGCTGCTTGGAACAACCCTTGCAGTGCGAATGAAGCAAGAGGTCAGCGGCTGCCTGCTGCCAGTGCGCCTCCGGCGAAGTTGGCTTTTCGGCTAGCGGCGGATGCAGCTTCTGTCACCTGTCCAACATATACAGTCTCCATTGTAGCTCCGCTTTTTGCTTAACTGTATTTATATTGAGGGTCCTTTAAGGAAACCCCCAAAAGGAGCTACAATGCAGACTATAGGAATGCCCTTGTTTTGAGTTTTGCATATCAACGTCTGGAGGCCATATGGAGCTGCTGCAGTAGGAGAGAGGTCCACCAGTGATCCCGGGCACAAGGGCGCAAGGGCACAAGGGCACGGCAAGGGCACGGCAAGGGCACAGCAAGGGCACGGCAAGGGCACAAGGGCACAAGGGCGCAAGGGCACAAGGGCACAAGGGCCCAAGGGCGCAAGGGCATAAGGGCACAAGGCCATACGGGCATATGGGCACAAGGGCACGAATGCACATAGAGATATGTACAAATTTACAAAAACACACATGTATACATAAATACATATGTACACATATATACATATGTACACATATACATAAAACACGTATAAGTCACACACACACACACACACACACATATATATATATATATATATATATATATATATATATATATTATACATATATGTATATATGCATAAATACACATATACGTATATACACATACACATATTTACATATATACATATATACATTTCTATACATATACATACATACACATGCATGCATACATACACATATACAAATGTACACGTACAAATATATACACATATACACGTATACACATATACACATATAAATATATCAGGGGCGCCCCATCAGTCCAAGGCTGCATCCTCGAAGTTCAAGGGTGGTAAGACTTCTGGTTTTAAAGTCAGGGCCGCCCCATCCGTCCGAGGCTCCGTCCTCGGAGTTCAAGGGTGGTAAGAGTTCTGATTCTAAAATCAGCGGCTTCGCATTAGTCCAAGGCTCCATCCTCGGAGTTCAAGGGTGGCGAGAGTTCTGACTTTGAAATCAGGGGCGCCCCATCAGTCCGAGGCGCCATCCTCGGAGTTCAAGGGTGGTAAGAGTTCTGATTTTAAAATCAGGGGCGCCCCATCAGTCCGAGGCTCCATCCTCGGAGTTCAAGGGTGGTAAGACTTCTGGTTTGAAAATCAAGGCCGCCCCATCAGTCCGAGGCTCCGTCCTCGGAGTTCAAGGGTGGTAAGACTTCTGGTTTGAAAATCAAGGCCGCCCCATCAGTCCGAGGTTCCGTCCTCGGAGTTCAAGGGTGATAAAAGTTCTGATTCTAAAATCAAGGGCGCCCCATCAGTCCGAGGCCCCATCCTCGGAGTTCAAGGGTGCTAAGAGTTCTGATTTTAAAATCAGGGGCGACCCATCAGTCCAGGGCTCCATCCTCGGAGTTCAAGGGTGGTGAGAAATCTGTTAAAATCAGGGGCGCCCCATCATGCCAACGCTTCATCCTCGGAGTTCAAGGGTGATAAGAGTTATCGTTTGAAAACCAGGGGCACTCCATCAGTCCAAGGCTCCATCCTCGAAGTTCAAGGGTGATAAGTGATAAGAGTTCTGATTTTAAAATCACGGGCCCCCCCATCAGCCCAAGGCTCCATCCTCGGAGTTCACGTGTGGTAAAAGTTCTCTTTTCTAATCCAGGGGCGCCCCATCAGTCCCAGGCTCCATCCTCGGAGTTCAAGGGTGGTAAGAGTTCTGAGTTTGAAATCAGGGGCGCCCCATCAATCCGAGGCCCCATCCTCGGAGTTCAAGGGTGGTAAGAGTTCTGATTTTGAAATCAGGGGCGCCCCATCAGTCCGAGGCTCCATCCTCGGAGTTCAAGGGTGGTAAGAGTTCTGATTTTAAAAACAGGGGCGCCCCCATTCCAAGGCTCCTGTTTTCGGAGATATGCTGGTAAGAGTTCTGATTTTGAAATCAGGGGCGCCCCATCAGTCCTCGGAGTTCAAGGGTGCTAAGAGTTCTGATTTTAAAATCAGGGGCGACCCATCAGTCCAGGGCTCCATCCTCGGAGTTCAAGGGTGGTAAGAGTTCTGATTTTAAAATCAGGGGCGCCCCATCAGTCCAAGGCTCCATCCTCGGAGTTCAAGGGTGGTAAGAGTTCTGATTTTAAAATCAGGGGCTTCCCATTATAGTCCAAGGCTCCACAAGCTGCGCAAGCGGCGCAGCCGGCGCAACGCCGCAGCCGCAGCCGGCGACAGCGGCGTAAGCGGCGCTGCCGGCGTTGGCAGCGCAGCCGCCATGGCGCATCCTTGGTGGGCCGACGCAGTCGGCAAAATGGCGCATCCATGTGGCGGGGCGGCGCACCGGCGCACCGGTACATCGGCGCATCCGTGATCCAACGGCGCACTGGTGCATCGGCGCAGCCGAGTTGCATGCGGTGCACCGACGCACCGGCGCAACTGTGAGGTGCTACACCCATTGCCCCCCACACTCCCTATATACGTATATACATATATACACATACATGTACACATGTAAACATATAAACATACATACATACATACATACATACATACATACATACATACATACATATACACACACACACACATATATATATATATATATATGCATGTACACATATAAACATAAATACACCTATACACATATACATATACACATGTATACATATCTACATACCTACATACATACATACATACCTACGTAGAAGGGCAGAGGGGCAGAAGGGCACAAGGGCACAAGGGCACGGCAAGGGCACAAGGGCACAAGGGCACTTGAACAGGAGAGGACCGATGCCGAGAGTAGCAAGTATTCTCACACCTGCTTCGGAGTGGTTGCACGGTGAAAGTGCCAAACACTGCAGTCCTACTTGCAGTAGGTTCACGTTTTCAGGCAGGCAGTACAACATGCTGTTGGCACCGCGCAGGATCAGCAGCCCGAACTCGTATGGGTAGTTCTCTGAATGTTGTTGCCTTTTCAGCTCCGGTCCCCACAGTAATACCGCATCCAGATAAAAAGGACCCTAATTTAGAGAATTACCACTAATGTAGGAACCTGATTCAGAAACCCTGGGCCTGTAACCCCAAAATATAAGAAACCCGAATAAACAAAGGCCCAAGGTTTCTTAGTCAGGTTCCTACACTATTATAGTACTCTTATAGATCCCTTAAAGTATAGTAACGCTTATAGTATAGTAATGCTTATAGACCCTTTTAGAGGAACCCCAATAAAGGCCCAAGTACGACTAACTATCCCAGGTCAGGGGGACGTGAAGCGGACGCAGGCTGCACCTGAATCCTGCCATCTGCCTCTTCGCAAGACTTGGAGCCCCCAGAGCCTAAATCCTAAACTTTTAAGGGTTTAGGGTTTTAGGGTACCCGGCAGTCGCAATAGGCCTGGATGCACAAGGGTTTAGGTAAACCCTAAACCAAAAGCTCTAAACCCTAGCCATTTTGGCTCAAGTCTGGAAAGCCTGTGATTAGTGAAGCAAAGAAAAAACCCTTCCCTGAAAAGCTCTCTCTTCCGTCTTTAGCCTAGAGGCCCGCAAGATGGTGGAGCCCAATGGTGATGCCCTGATGAATGCTGAGACCCAAGCTCCAGGGGGGATCGATGACACTGACGATGATAGCCCTCTTGCTGCTGCTACTGCTTCGGCGCCTGTGGTGAATTCGGTGGCGAATGCTATGCATGCATCGGACGCTCGAGCTCGCGAGGACGCACTTAGGGATGCGGCTAGTGCTGCAGCCGCTCTGAAAGCTGCCCGGGGCGATGATAGCGTCTTGCAGGTGCCGGCCTTGAATCCCTACGCACTTGCCCCTGCTGCCTCTGCACATCCCTCGCCCCTCCAAACAGTAATCCAAGGCGCCGGACAAGCTCTTGGCACCCCTAAATCCAAGCCCAAAAGGGATAAAAATGAGAGCCCTGAGAAGAAGCCGAAGTTGGCGGGTGAACGCCTGAGGAGAGGACTTGAACCACCGCCTTTATTCGGAGGGGGCAGCGAGCCTTCCCGAGTCAGCCCCAAACCCAACGAAGCACCCCAGGGGCCCGAAGTCTTTCACCTCGACCCCCAGACACCCCCCGCGTGGGTACGTGATCTTCAGAATATGGTAGCGACAGGCCACCGAGATCTCCTCTCCGAACTCCAAACCCACAAAGTGCATATCTCCGAGGTAGCCGCTCAGGTGCAAGGTATTGATCGGAAACAAGAAGCTCTGCAGAAGGCCCAGGGGGACATGGCCACACGGTTGGACACTATGGAAGCTGAGGTGCGGGACTTGAGAGCCAGGTCTAGATCTGTCAGCCCGGCACCGCACCGTGCGGTGGAGCAGAGCCCCCGGGGGTCTACGGCCGCCAGCACTGTAGGGGGCAAGCCTGTAGTTGACGATCTCCAAATAGTCATCGGTGGATGGGATGAAGCGAGGAGAGGCGAGGTTGAACAGGAAGTCAGGCTTCTGTTTGAAGAGATTGAAGCACTGCCCCTACTTCACAACATCACCATACCTTTCGTAAGGACCCGCTTTGCAAGAGTGGAGTTGTTGTTTACGAACAGCAACCTAGCAGAACGCAGGCGAATCCAGTCCCTCACGATCAATGCACTCAAGACGAAGCTGGATGGTTGGGTAAGCACCATTCCAGGCCAACAGAAAACCAGGCTTTGGGTGACTCGCAATCGTAGCCGTGAAGACCGAGAGAAAATCCGTGCACTAGTTAGTATCAAACAGTGGGCCACAAAACACCTGTCGGAAGCCTTCATTGACCTTGACTGGTCTGGTCGTCTCTGGATTCGATCCGAACAGTGTCTGTTCTGGCATCGTAACAAGCAGCCGGACGAGAACTCTATGATGTTGACAAACCAGGCAGGAGATGAAACTGGCTGGTTCATTGATGTCCGTCAGTTGGGTAGGCTGCTTTCCATATCCCCTGACCAAGTCCGTGATGAGCTCCAGAACTGACTAGACTCAGCAATTTCAGGGAATAAGAAGGGTAGGCTTTCTGCAAGCAGAATTCGCGAATTTGTTGCTGTGACATGGAATCTCCATGGAAAGCACCTTGGCTCCGTCAAGAACTTGCTGGATCAGGTTGAGGGTCCTTTTGAACTTCTGCTTTTCCAGGAAGTTGGGGGTTTCTCAGATGTCCCTGAAGGGGACTGGCGCACTGACGACCTTGATATAAGCGGTATAGCCTACAAGGTTTTTGTCTATCAAACACCGCTGTCTCATCGAGCAACTGCTCTCCTTTTTCGTTCTGACTTGGACTTGCAGGTCAGTACGAGACACTCCTTTAGTACAGGGTTCATTCTGCAATGCAGAGCAGAAGGCAGACACTTTTGGCTGGGCACGGCTCATTTGCCTCACCAGCAGAGGCCTGATTCGGAGGACGTCTGGCTTTCGGACTTGGCTAAGATAGACGAAACCCTAGCACTCGCACGCCATCATGATGTCATTTGCATGGGAATTGATGCGAATCAACATGTCTTGAATTCAAACCCTTATTTTCCCGCACTGTCACGACTCCAACTCCTTGCCCGTCACCGTGGACTGGAATTCAATCAGCCGCTTGGATGCACTTGGACTGCTCGTAATGAATCCAGTACGATTGACTGGTTTGCTTTCAGATGGCCCATGATAGAAGCTGGTTTCCACCTTAGGGAAGACTGGCGACGCTCTCTTCCTTCGGATCATAATGCCTTAGTGGCGGTGTTCAGTGGTCGAACAGGTTTGCGTCTCAGGCCACCGCGTCCACGACACGGTTGCGGAAGATGGGGGGTAATTGCAGAACCACTCCAAGCTGCTGCAGCTGATGCATCTTTTACGTTCTCTCAGGATACCTTTGCTAGCCTCTGTCAGCAGCACTCCTACAGGCTTCCTTCTCGGAGGTACAGAGACCCCCCGGAAATCAAGGAGCTCATCCGACTTCGGAAAGTTTGTGCAGAACCCCCCCAGAGAGAAAGCCTCGCCCAGCAGATCGCCCAAGAAAGGTCCCTCGCACAGAAGCGCCATAAGCTAGATTTGCTGGAAGCTGCCAGAGCCGGGGATCGAGGGGCAATCGGCCATCTTCGTCGTAGCTCTGCCCAGAGCTACTCAGATGGTAGTCTACTGGAACGGTTGGGAGGTCATGACCAGGCCTGTGACCAGGTCAAGTCATTCTACCAGCAGAAATACAGTCGCTCTGTAGGTGAGAGTGAGGTCACTAGCGTACAAAAAGAGGCCCTCGAGGCAAAGCATGCTGGGGCACCATTCTGTCCGGTGACTGACGAGGAGATCAGGGTTGCCCTTAGCAAAGTAAAAACCTCAACGGCTACAGGTCTGGACTCAGTCTGTTACACAGCTATCCAGGCGTTTCACCAACAGGACACCCAAGGGAAGCTGGCCTCCTTTTTCAGTCGCATATTAGGAGGTGAAGTGCCGGTGCCTAAGGAGTGGCTAATCGGGAAAATTTGCCTCATCCCCAAGGTCCAGAGACCTTCCAGGGTACAAGATCTCCGCCCCATTAGTCTCACTCCGTGCCTTGGCAAACTCTTTAGCAAGATCATCATGCAACGACTCCGCCGCACCCTCCCTCCTTTCCAGGCAGGGCAACATGCTAATCGTCCTGGAACACAAGCTCTGGAAGCGGTCGTAGCGGCACAGTCTACCATGAAACTTTACAAACAAGCCACAGGCAAAAGGCTTCTGGCCTGCAAGTTAGACATCAAACAAGCCTTCGACACGGTTTCTCACCAAGCGGTCTGGCGGTACCTTTACGATGCGGAGGCCAGCAGGGAAAGTCTTGTATTGTGGCAACTCTGCTGCAATACGGAGGTTAGACTTCAATTGGGTTCCCGATCTTGGTCCCAGGAGCTAGAGCGAGGGTTGCTTCAAGGCACGTCTTACAGTGCTGATCTTTTCTCTAGGATCATTGACCACTTTTTGGGTGGACTTCTTCGTCGTTGGCAAGCAAGCGAACATGAAGTGTTCACTAGGTATGATCTGCCGCATGCCCTTCTGTTTGCTGACGATATTCTTCTGTTCGGCACAGACACGAAGGAACTTCAGATCAAGCTTCGGGATTTGCAGTTGACTTTGGAATCGATCGGGCTCCAGTTGAACTTGTCCAAGTGCAACATTCTCGATGATGAGGACGGCACTACGCCAGGGATCTGGGGCAGGAATGCAGCTGCACCGATCGCGGGGGCTGAATCCATCCTTTACCTTGGTGTTCCCTTGTGTTATGGAGGAAATGCGTTAGGAGGCCTTGGTGTTTCCTTGGCAAAAATGTCCTCAGCCTTTTTTGGGTTGAGGAGACTTTTTGATCATCCTGATACACCTGTTTCCGAGAAACTTTTGCTTTTCCAGACGTATATCACTTCGAAATGGTCCTGGTGTGCCCCGGCGGTGTATCCTAGTGTCCAAGCGTTGCGGAGTTTGGAATCCTTCAAACACACCTTGCTGTTATCGCTTTTGAAGTTGCAGGTTGATCCGTTGCAGCCGTTCCTAGCAAATGTACTGGCACGTCGTCGAGCTGTCAAAGTGACGTGTGAAGTGTTCAAATCAGTGAGATGGGGCGAGCTCTGGCTGACCCGGTTGTGGAATTTCTGGGGACACGTCTTCCGTAGCAAAGCTGACCTTCCCATACACAGGATCGTGTCCAAATGTGCCACGTGGAGAATCGTCACCGGCAGGACTCAGCCTGGCCCTCTGACTCTTTTCACGCCAAGGAAGCTACAACTTGCCTGGAACAAAATGCGAGGGACCTCGCCTTGGCCGGATGTCGAGAGCCTCGCTCAGGAACGCCCAATTTGGACCCAGGCGCTGAAGGACTGGCTCCGTAAATGGGGCTATACAGGACCTGATCGTGCCAGAATGCCTGCCAATTATCTCTGTGATAGGCAACTGCTGTTGGTTGGGAAAGCTTTGGCGATTCTGAGACCAGCCCGTCTCTTTCCGGAAGAGCCGTATAGTCGAGAGGTCCAGCATGTACTTCGAGGAGTCCCTAGGACTACCCAGTGGACTCTGTGGATAAGCATGCCTGACCAAGGCATTGAAGTCAGAGTGATCCCTCCTAAACGATCAGGTGGCAAAGTGCTCGTGATTCAGGCAAACCAGGATGGGTCTCAGGGTCTCCTGCACAGGCGCCTTCAGGTCTGGGAAAGTATTCGTCAGGTCTGGCTCTGGATGCCCTTCTTGTGGGAACAGAAGGCGGCCATCTTTCTGCCACCTGGAGCTTTTGCCTCACACATATGGTGTCAACAAGTACCGCTTGACCAATTGTGGAGGGCGAATAGGCTGCACACCTTTGAAGTCAACCAAGACCTGCTGTCTTTCTGTTTCCTACATCCCAAGAAAACTCCCGATTGGTTGGTACACCAGTTGCAGGGACCCTTCGGTCCTTTTCCTGACGGACGCAGTATATTGACCCGACATGCAGACTTCAGCCACGCGGTGTACCATGCAGCATTCCCTCTGCACTTCCCGTTTCCCACTGTTGTTGATCTTACGTAGCGACCTGGAAGCCGTGTATGCGTTAGTCTGTGAAGCTGACAGTCAGGCCACGGAGGTTTTCGCCAGTCGTACTATTTTTGTGATAAGGGGAGGGGGGGGGGCAGGTCGGCCAGCAATTGACCCTTCGTGCAGACTGAAGCAGCAGCCTCTCGAGTCCCACCGTTGGCAGTTCTAGAGTAGAGCCTTGTAGCCATGCCGGTCGACTGGGTAGTGCAGGCCTTGACAGTTGTGCTCACACTCCTGATCGTCTTGATCGTCAGGGATGTGCAGGCCTGGCTCAACCCGATAATTGCAGACCCAGGTTCGAGCAGAGCTTCGGAGGGTGTGAAGCCTTCCCTCGAGGACGACACAGGTGCAGGGCAGTCGAATGCACCGCAGATGACTCCCTCGGCGCCTGACTCACCACCCTCCGCGACAGACAGCTCTACCAAGGACCCAGAAGTCCCTGCTGAGGACTCTGCACAGGCCTGTGCTGGCAACTGCAAAGGACCCGGTGCAGACCCAAACTCCCACCCGGGCAGCTGCTGAAGACTCGGCTGCCACTGATGAGAAGAACAAGAGCTCGGCTGACCGCCCAGACAGCCAACAGACGGGCTCTTCGGGTTTGGCCCCGGAACCAAAGATGGCGATGACCCCAGAAGCAATGATGCAGGAGTTGCAAGCTTGCCATACCACGGTCAAGAACTTTGCAGCGAACATGTCGCGCCTCCTGAATGGGATCACGAGTGTGGCACCCAACTTGGCTAAAGTCCAGACGGAGCTGGAAAACAGTCAGAAAGGGCTGAGCACACTCGAAGCTGTGGTCGAGAAGATGACGGCAAAGCTGGATGATGGTCCACCACATGACCTGAAGGAGATGAGCAAACGGCTCGGCTCCTTGGAAAGCATCGTTGGGGCTGTGACGGCCAAGATGGGCACAATGTCACAGAATGTGGACAGCTTCGGCAAATCCAGCGACTCCCAGCTGAAGGATGTTCTCAAGGGTGTGTCTGCGGTGGCAAGCTCTAACAAACAGCAAGGCGTTGATGTGAGTGCCTTGGTCACTGCAAAAAACTCCCTGCTGGAGTCAGGTCTGAAGGAAGTGTTGAGGAAGATCACACAGACGGACTATGACAGCTGCACGAGCATCACGGGCCATGTAAAAGAGGTCCACAACCAGGTTTACGACCTTGGACAAGAACTCCTGGCAGCGATCAACTTCCTGCAGGGCGAGACGACCACCCAGAAGGACACCCTCTACCAGTTGGCCACCGCTCTTGCGGACGTTGCTGACCAGGTACGAGTCATTCGCGACTATTGCGAAAGACCGGTACCGATGGCAGTCAGTGCCCGCCACGATGGACCTCCTCTGCCGCCGCCGTCCTATGATGAGCCTCACATCGGGCAGGGCCCGCGCCAGCTCCACCTGAACACTGCTCTGCCGGCCAGACAGACCGGGGGACTTCCTCAGGTCCGCGTGGACGTGGGGGATGGTCGCAGCATCACGATTCCCCTGAGCGGCGGAGTGTAAATGTAGTTTAACAAGTGCAAGGAGTCCTTTCTGCATGCTCTCGGCACCTTTTTGACTTTGTATTCTGGGTTTGGTAACTTTGGAGTCCGACTGCATGCTTGAACTGGGGCACCCTTGCCAGAATTTGTTTGCCTGCCTGCCTTGAGAACTGTCTGCACGCACTGTTTTCCTTGAGCCCTGTGAATTTGCGACCTTTTGCATGCCCTTTGCATGCCGAACTGGAGGCCCAGTGCCCAGTTGCTAGCTGATCTTAGGGTCTCCGCGTCGCCAGAATTGGTGGAGCCGCACTTGAAGAGCGTAGGCCTTCTCATAAAGCTCCAGACCTGCATGTGTACTGTACCCAGCATGTGGAAAAGGCTCGAGATATTTGCGCAGGCTCTTGTTCGACATGTACACTCTTGATCGGGAAAATCCGTCGGAAATGCAAAGCGACCTGAATTTTGAGCACTTTTGAAGTTTTCTGGGCTCGTCAGGTACTTCGCGTAGAGAGCACTCCCCGACTCCACAACATGTTCCTGAGCCTCCGACCTGCACAACATGTCATAGATCTGACAGATTCGTGTGAACCTGAGGTTTGGAGACGTGAGCTTGCCTGCGGGCACCCGAAGCCTTTGGACCTCTCCCAGGAAACGACGCTTGACACACCTCTTGAACAGCCTCTGAAGCGCCCCAGGCAGTCAACCGACCAGGGCATTCTAGGGGACCATGCGTGCCCCCTAACACCTCCCCATAACCCCAAGCTGCCAGCCTTCGGTTTTTCTGAGGACCACTTGCTACGAGCAGTAGAGATCCGAGCATACAGGCTTCTGAGTCGAGACCACGCACCGGAGCGAGATGAGATGATGCACCTCTTTCGGATGATGCCGCGTTCGTATCGTCGTCGTCATGGTGGTGATAGGGATGCCGTGGGGACTTTTGTAGTGGCAGGGTGTAATCCACGACATAATGACTGCCCCTTGACAACGTGCACCGAAACCCCGTACTTTGTCATGATAGTGAACCGGTACATTCGTAACCTCGCCCCTATGCTGCCCTATACTGACTTTGTCCTGCGCGAAGGTCTTGTAGGCAAGCCCCATAGGGACACAAAGAATGGGCCCTTTCATTCCATGATCGTAAACCTACATCCGCCCATGCATGAAGGAGGACTTTGGGTGCAAGACCCTGAAAACACGTGCTTCAAGCAACACCTTGGGAGCCTGATTTCAGGAAAGATTGTGGATATTACGGAACCTTACTTTTTCAATGCGCGTAAGTTCCTCCATGCAGGTCATCTGGCCCCCGGAGTAGATCCTAACAGCAGGGTTACTTTGGTTGCGTTCACGATTCTCAGCGCGAAGAATGTCAGCGTGAGCCTTCGGCAACACATGCTGACGTTGGGCTTCCACCTCCCCAGTAACACGATGCTGGGACAGGCCACTTTGGGGTTCCTGCCAGGCAACTTTGGATGCAACAAAAACCCAGACCTCAAACAGCTTGACATCCTTGAAGCCCTAGCACTGAGCAAGGAACGTCAGGCCCTTTTGCAGTCCCTAGAACAAGTACAGAAGGAGCAGCATAAGCAGTTCCATTTGCAGGACCTCTCGACGAGCCCCATCCTGATTGAGGACACACAAGCCAGTTAAACAAGCCAGCAAACTCGAGGGCTTACAGTGTGTAATACACTTGCCTGCGATGCCTTGCCTGTGCTCCTTGCCCGCTGGACTGTGAATTTGTTGCACGTGCTGGACTGTGAATTTAATGCATGGATGCATGTTGAATGAATGGTGGTGTCTGCGATGCTGATGCGAGGTACGTCTGTCTTGGGAACCCGGTCGTCTGGTCCAGTGGCAGGGAGTGCTTTGCACCTCACCCCCACTTTATCTGTTCTATGCCCTCGCTTTTCCCCCCTAACGAAACCATCAACCCGCGACACTTGCTGAAGCCATGGATAGCTGCATGTGGACTGCTACCGACCGAAGCTGGCAGCCGAATCTTGTGTGTTGGTTTCTTTCTGCATGGGGATAGGCTACGTTCTTGGAGCTGGATCCGCCAAAGATGCCCTATAGATTGTCAGACTTTGAGAAGACTCTGGAGGGAAAGACCTGAATGCTAGATGGCCCGTTCTGAATCCTCTTTCTGACGGTGGCTACTCCTGTAATGGGACCTTCGCGCCATTCTCTTTGAGCTGCGGTGACGCTGAATATCGGCAATCTGGCATTACTGAACGATCAGACCTCCCAGAGGACCATGCAAGTATCGGTTTTGACAATCAACAGAGTATCGGCTGGCACACCTCCCTTCGAAGTCCCCAGACTTTCGAGCAACGCAATCAGGGAACACTGTCCCTGACGGGTAGTGATCACAGAGTGGAGCTTGCTACGAATAAAGCCCGACAGGGAACATTGTGACGAGCCTTTGTCTCAGCGTCTGCCAACTGCCGCGTGCCATTGCCGAGCCCAAGTACTGAAGAATACTGAATAGCGAACATGTCTCACCCTCACCGTTAGTGAAAGTCGCTCTGTTGGAATCTGCACGGGTCCCCCGTGTATCTAGTGTATGTTAGGCTGCGTGTGGAATTTGCAGAGCGACACTAGCTCAAAGTAGCCAAACGATGTAAACAATAGTCCAACTCTGATGACCAGAGCACACTCTTGATAGTTGACCCGACGGTTTCTGGTGCTGTAGCTTTGAACTTATGCGTGTGTGGTTCGTGTTCAACCTTATCCTTGTGGTGATTAGGGAGCACTGGGCAACTGTCGTAGATTCTCGTACCAGTTAACCTTTGTTTGTGTCGTTTTAGCTTATGCCGAGCCTTTTGTGCCCATCGTGGTGAACTGGTACAAGTGAGAATCGCACCCGAATTCCGCACCTAAGAACCTCGCCTGGCTGTGTCCGAGTTGTGAGAGCGTAAACCCTAAACTTCAAGGGTGTAGGGTGTAGGTAAACCCTAAAGCAGAAACTCGACACCCTAAACCGTGAGCTCTGAACTTTAAGGGTTTCGGGTTTAGGTAAACCCTAAAGCCACAACTCTATATAAACCCTAAACCCTAAGTAGCGGAACAGCCCGAGCCTCGTAGAAGCCCTCCCGAAGCCACGAAGTCCCACATCCTCAAATGGGTGGTTGTCAAGATTATGGTCCTTTTTTGGGTACCCTAAATATTAGGTGCCGCATTACATTAAGGACCCAAAAAGGGACCCTAATTTTGACAACTACCCAAATGCTAAGCCTGAAATCAGAAAGCTTGAGACTTTAAACCTGGTCCCGAAACCATTCGGGACCATTCTGCCCTAAATAAAGGGGTAATGTAGAGGGTTAGCATGCTTATGAAAAGGCTTGTTTTTGCTCACGGACAAAACACGCCAAGAAAAGCCTGTTCTGCTTGTGAAGGCCCCTGTATCAGCGAGGCTCAGGAAGCCCAGGATAGGCTTCCGGCGGCCTCGACTGCGATAATATAGGGGCCTTAATTAGAATAGGGCTTTTGGCCCGTTTAGAGTATACTTAGAATCGGAACCCCAAGGAATAATGTTGGCAATTACTTCGGTTTTTATATACCCAGCGTTGTCGCCCCTAATTCAGGCTCCTTACTGCAAGTTTAAGTAAATTCCTTATTGACAGGGTGGTTGATCTTCACAGTTTGGATTGGGCTCTGTTGGTTATAGCTGTGAGTGACAGAATGTCGATAAAGTCAGATTGTATATCAAGTTGTTTGCTGTAGATGCTGGGGCCCACACAGAACTTCGGCAACGACTATCTGTGATTTTTCACAGACGGGTGTCGCATGAAGGTCGAAACTGGGAGCAAATAAAGTCGTATCTCCAGAATGCGCTGCATCCCTCAACAAACGCGGTCACTGCAGTCTCTTCATGCTAAGGTCGTTGATCGACGCCGCTGCACGAACGCAATGTGCGCAGCAGTGCGGTCGGCAATTTAGGCAGGTTTCCGTGTGGTGTTCCCCAGGCTTCTTGCCTACCGGTAGCGGAACAGCCGGACGGTTTCAACAAGCATCAGAGCGGCCCGTGATTCTACTTACCAGTAATTACATGCTGCTCTCGTGATCGCTCTCGTGAGTACTGCTCGTCGTGCTGGTGTCGCTGCTGTTCTTGTTGATGGGTTGGCTGCTAGTGCCGTCCAAGTCGGGGATCTCGTTTTGATTACATGCATTCAGACATGCATAGTTGCATGCCTACATGCAAACATGTATGTATATGTATCTGTATCTGTATCCGTATCGGTATCTGTATATGTATATGTATCTGTATATGTATATGTATATGTATATGTATATGTATATGTATATGTATATGTATATGTATATGTATATGTATATGTATATGTATATGTATATGTATATGTATATGTATGTATGTATGTATGTAACATATGTACGTATGTACGTATGTATGTATGTTTGTATGTGCATGGCCATCTACACATACGTACGTACATACATGCATACATACATACAGACACACAGTATTAAGACGTACAGGCATACATACATAAATATAATATACATATACATATACATGTAGAGGTGCATAAGCATACACACAGTATTAAGACGTACAGGCATACATACATACATACACTCATATAATATACATATACATATACATGTAGAGGTACATAAGCATACACATATGTGTTTACATATACAAATACACCCAAACACATACACATAAGTCTATTTGTGTAGATATGGGTATGTATATGCATATGTATATGTACATGTGTTTTGGAGTGTAGATGTATGCGCACATAGAAAAAGATAGATACATGGATACATATTGGATTATACATCAATACGACTTGCTACAGATTTATATTAGAACGCTGATTCCGTCCATTGATCACACAGGCGGAAGAGTTGGTATCCAGAGGGCCTCAACCTGTGAGCAGCTGGGATGTTACGTTGCACGGCATCCCAATCCGGTGCTGAAGTCTCACCGCCAGAGCCAAGCCACGTTGTTTGGATTGCGCAAGTAATTAATTACCCAATGCTCCCAGTTGGCACCCT